ACTACCTTGGAATAACGAATTTTGCTTTAAGCATTGGAAAGAGTAGCATTACTGCTGGCAAAGTGCCATGACATAACAAATGAAGTAAAATGGGGGTTGGAAGGAAGTATATTGGCAAGGGCGTGTCATGTGTTAATTTATCACTGAGATGGGATACCATATAATGATATTCGTCGAGCAATTTTGGTATTTTCGGCATGTAATTAGAAAATCTGGAACAGTACTAATTCACAGTTTGATCATCCACCCATCATGCCATCGAGCATTTATTAAGGGCATTTTACGAAAGGGGAATGCTTCGATATATACAAAGCAAGCAGAATCCAGCAGAACTAGCTGCTCGAAAAACTTATGCAGAAATTTGCCCCTCTACGTATATTCCATATTCGTAATGGGGAAATGCAGAAAAAAAAAGTACTTCATCGGCAGCTTCTGCTCCTTCTACGCAACATGCAGCTGTAACAATCACTCCACATGCCATCAAAAACCAGTCAGCTTGCACACGACAAATCTGCTCACTGAAACAGGCTTAAATTGAGAAATTAAGATTTATAAAAAACAGAGCGGTACATACAGGTATGCTTATTTGGGAGATCTACATGGCACTTCTATTTGTTTTCATTGATTATCAAAATTCGATTGTGTTCCTCTCCACGGTGGGCCAACATAGACAATTTCGGGCCCCTGTCCTCTTCCAATCTTCTAGCCAGGGATATTCGTTGTTTATATCTCTAAAATTTCTACAACATCTGCTGAGCCAAAAAATCCCTATCCCAACTGACACCATAGGCGGATCCAGGGCGGTCTCCTGGAGGGGAAGGATTCGATACCCCATGTTCCCTCCCCCCTCCCACCAGGAGCTCCTTCGCCACTTCCGCTACCCCTCCCCCCCTCCCCCCTCTCGCAGGTACACTCTAACTGTGGCGACGATCGGAGGGAGTGGGAAGGAAAATGGGGCTCCTGGACACGGGGGAAGGGGATACATGGGATATCGAAGAGAATTTTCTACAGTAAAACAACTGCTACCTCTGCCCCCACCTGGTTCTGTTAATGACTGATACTAACAAAAATGATTTTGATTTCTTCCTAACACTGTATTTATATTACTCTTTCTGCATGCGTGTTTTCTTTTACTTTACTTTCATTCATTATTTGTCTGTACTTATTAAATAGGGGGTACGTTGTGTTGGAACAATAGAAAAATGCTCAGTACCGTGGCACTGGAACAGCAGCGCCCACAACATTGCCAATCATTCGCTGATATATATCGGTCCAGTAGATGAAAACACAATCCATAACATACATAATTTGTTGCCAATAATTAGCTGCATCAATTATTCGCGTCCATTTTGTTTCTGAAACACAAAATAACCATTAAAAAAAGTACTGCTAATTTGTCCGCTAAACATTGATTTAGCTTAAGATTTTCAAATAATGAAGAGATCCAGCCCACCATACTCATTCCACTCTCTTGCCCCCTTCCGGCTTTCCCCATTTGCCATAGGCGGATCAAAGGGGAGGCGAGGGGGGACAAAGGATCTTTCGCCCTCTTCCCCCTCCTCGGCGGCACAGGCACCAATGCTGCAAAAACCCGGGTCTGTTCATAAATAAAACTAAAGTAACTCTAAGGAGCAGTGTTGCAACTA